TTATTGAGAGACATTGGTGTGTGGGTGAACCTCTTCTGTGACTTAACCTGTTTTTCTTCGATGTTGCCCTATTCAGCCTTGAAATTCCATTTCAAGGATATGAAACTGTGGTTCTTGTATAACACACTACCTGTCAAATGATCTATAAAACATGACAAAGGTAATACACTAACTTACTGTAAATCAGCTGAGGAGAGACATCTGAATCTTAGACATATGCACAGACCTTTGAATGGTGTGGCCAGAGAGAGGAAGCAGCGTGGGCTGAAGTAAGATGTGTGTGGGTACAATCCTTCCATATATTATAGCTAATTTGCTCCCATGGAAACATATATTTGGATGTTTATTTCAAACTATCTGGTCTTTACTCTCAACATTGTTCTGCAGCAGTTCTCCGCTGAAGAGATGCTAGTATTCCTTAAGAGAAGCTGCTATGCTGGCTATTAAATTCTGCACAGTAAATCCACTATGCCTGCTGGATCTCTTTGGTAAAAACAAGGAGTCAAAAGCCGAGTTAAAAAGAGAACAATCTTATTAGAAAACTCCTGTGACTTAACCAAAGTCCAAAATCCCATAAACACCCACACAAAAGTCAGTCTATACCGACAGGTAATTGGCTGCTCTGCTTGTTGTGGTGAAGATTTTTCTACCTTCGGATTCTTTCCTATGGGGATAAACTGTGTTTGAAGAAAGCACAACTGTGTTTTCTTCAAACCCTGGAGGCTCAGCCTGTGGCTTGCCTCCTGTTCCCTAGCCTTCCTGCTCAGTGAATAGAAACTGGATGCAGGGAAGCTGGCCCTTATACCCAGATACTGTCTTTCATGTCCAGCTAATTATGATCCTGTCTTTTATTTCTGTATACTAACTCGTTTAAGACCAAGTCTTTCAGCTACAGAGAGCTAGGGCTTGGGTGCATGTGGTTAGTATCACAAAATTCATAGTTCTGGGAACTCTACGGTGGTGAGGATGGGGTGAAGAGTTTTGTAGCCATCCCCTATCACAGGGTTCAGACACTAGTGTTAGTGTGGCGCATCTTGACTATTATGGATACCTCTCAGGATTACCTCTGTTATGAGAGTGTGTCCTCTGCATGATCAGAATATGTGGCCTCCCCCACATCTCAATATATTCCTCTATCATTGAATCATGGGACCTTTTCTTTAGCTAATATTACTGTAATAAACTTGAGTTCTGTCATTTAAAGAAAAATTCTGAGGTAGCTAGTCTGAGAGATTAATATTAAGCCTTTATCTTGCAGGAAGCTGAAAAAGGGGTGAATGGACCATAAGGAAAAGACAGATTTAGTAGCAGCAAACAACACATGCTGAAAGCATACTCTACAATTTTTGAAGAAGTGATTTTAAATGGCAGCAAAATGTGTCTAGTGTTGATCAATAAAGAGGATTACAGAAAATATAAATCTCAGTATATTAGAATACTCTTCAAAAGCCAAACACCTCAAAAATAAGTGTTCAGATAATTCATAGATTGCTAGGCTTGAAGCAGAAATGTTTGAATTAATACTCTCCTTTCTCATTCCTGAGTTATAGGTTGTTTCATATTTAAATCCCAGTGTTCTAACTTTAGTCTATTCTCATTTCTTGCTACTTTAACACAACCCACATCGTCCCTTGAAATCTTTCTCTTCATTATTCCAGCATTGCTTTCACTGTTGTTAGAAAGCACAGCTGCTATGAAGCACTTGGCTTCCTTGCCTTTTTTTCTCTAGGGTAACATTTGCCAGGAAATCCTTTTTGCAGAACCCAAGTTCTGCATCACCTGCCCTGAAAATCTATCTGCCTCTCTGTAAGCAGCTGCTGTGTTCTGCTGTAGTGGTTTGTGCAACTGGGAGAGCGAGGCTTCTTTTATCCATATGTCTTCTATATCTACTTTCAGAAAAGGCACACAGACACAGATTGTTGAACAGCGAGATGCATGTGCTGGCAAGAACTAGATTGCTCTATCATGGGACAGACTTCTTCCAGCTACAACTGCCTTGCATTCATAAAGCTGTACTCTAGGCACCTGAGCTTGTGGGTAAGATCTATCCTGCTGTCTCGGGAAGAAAAGTTGGTAACAGATCAGATGAAATAAACAGCCCAGTTATGCCTTTCCACAACTTTTAGGCAGAGCTGAGCAAAGATATTTACTGAAGAGTTTTATTAGTGGACAAAAAAGTATGTCTCATCTTGAAATTAGTGAGGGAAGTGTTAAAGAGATGTAAAAGCACCAGTGGCATTTCCATGTAGCATCATGTGCGACACAAAAATATTGATATGCAAGTTTCATTAACGTTAGCAGTACAGATGGATTTTTGAACCTCCAAATGCTGTCTCTGCCTCTTGTCCTAGCCATTTGTTTCACAGTGCTGTAGGCAGCAAGACAGGCAGCAAGACATATTCCTTGTGGTGGAAGCCTTGTCATCAACATAGGCAGAAGGGCTGGGAAAGCAGACTGTCTTAATTCAGAAGATGTTTTGTTTTCCCTCTCATTTCAAGAAAACATTTTCCAAAACCCTTAAATCGAGAGTCTGGGCTTTCAGAAGGCTAACTGCAGACAAGATGAGATCATTTAGTAAAGTTAAAATATATCTGACTTTTCATGGGTAAAAATTCTCTGTCATAGGCTTACTATAATACAAAAGGGCTTTTTACAAAAGTGGAACTTTGTAACTTGTTCTAAACCAGATCTTCCTTGTAAACAGCAGGAAGCAGGATTTCTCACACTTCTCTCAGATTTCCTTTGCAGGTGAGCTTGAAGGTGTGAACTACAGGCCACTCAGCCTCACCTTCGTCCCTGGGAAAGTGATGGAATGGCTCATACTGGCTGTTGTCTCCAGGCACATGGAGGACAAGAAGGTGCTCAAGAGTAGTCAGCATGGATTCACCAAGGGGAAATCTTGCTTGACTAACCTGATAGCCTTCTATGATGGAATGACCGGCTGGGTAGATGAGGGATGTCATCTATCTAAACTTCAGTAAGGCTTTTGACACTGTCTCCCATAATATTCTCATAGGTAAGCTCTGGGAGTGTGGATTAAATGAGTGGATGGTGAGGTGGATTGAGAACTGGCTGCATGGCAGAGCTCAGAGGGTGGTGATCAGCGGTGCCGAGTCCAGTTAGAGGCCTTTAGCTAGCGGTGTCCCCCAGGGGTCAGTCCTCGGTCCAGTCCTGTTCAATTTATTCATCAATGACCTGGATGAAGGCACAGAGTGCTCCCTCAGCAAGTTTGCTGATGATACCATACAGGCTGGGGACCGAGCTTCTGGAGAGCAGCTCTGCGGAGAAAGACCTGGGTGTCATGGTGGATGACAAGTTGATCATGAGGCAGCAGTGTGCCCTCGTGGCCAAGAAGGCCAATGGGATCCTGGGCTGCATTAAGAAGAGCATCTCCAGTAGGTCGAGGGAGGTGATCCTGCCCCTCTACTCAGCCCTGGTGAGGCCGCATCTGGAGTATTGTGTGCAGTTCTGGGCTCCACAGTACAAGAGGGATGTGGAGCTGCTGGAGAAAGTCCATCACAGGGCCACAGGGATGATCAGGGGCCTGGAACATCTGCCCTGTGAGGAGAGGCTGAGGGAGCTGGGCCTGTTCAGCCTGGAGAAGAGAAGGCTGAGAGGGGATCTGATCAGTGTCTATAAGTACCTCAAGGGAGGGAGTGAGGAGGATGGCACTGGCCTCTTTTCACTGGTGGCCACCGACAGAACTAGAGGTAATGGCCACAAACTGAAGCATCAAACATTCCACAGGAACTTAAGGAAAAATTTCTAATCAGTGAAGGTGAGAGAGCCCTGGAACAGGCTGCCCAGAGAGGTTGTGGAGTCTCCTTCTGTGGAGATCTTCAAAATCTGCTTGGACGCAGTCCTGTGCCACATGCTCTAGGTGACCCTACGTGTGCAGGGGGGTTGGACTAGATGACCTCTAGAGGTCCCTTCCAGCCTTAAGCATTCTGTGAGTCTATGATTCTGTGAACTGAGGATATGTAGCACCTTTTCATATTCTCCTCTAAATGGTTCATGTTTCACACTTTCCTGCCTCTACTGAGGTTTTTTTTTGTTGCATAGAGCATGTTGGGAGTGGGTCTAAGTTCTCTTCCTTCCACTCCAGTGAATGTTGCTTTCTTCATTGCACGGTTTCAACAGCAAAGATATCTTCAAGTGACAGCAATCAGTTTTTTTTTCTACCTACATAAAGCCCTGTGGCCTAAATTTTTTTTGGAAAGGCTGCAGATGTGTTTTTGAATTTATTCCATGTAGTTAGAATGTGAATCTTTATCTCTCATTTCCTAGGGGTTGCTTGGGTTGCTGAGTTTGTAGACATTCCCCTTCAAAGAAAGTAGAAACAGCTGCAAGTATTCCTGTTTTAGGTACTAAATTCCACCTAATTTCATTAATTTGTCTAGCCCTCGAATGATTTTTCACAGTATTGCCTTTTACTCATGTTTCTTTTTCACTACAAATATAAGAAGGCAAATATTTGAATAAACTATTGAATGTTAGCAGAGGTATTAAGTTAGGCATTTTTAACCATAAACTGAATTTGCCATTGTCATTGCTGGAAAGATAACGAACTGAGAAAAGTATACTGTGAGATAGCTTTGGAACAGATAAAAAGCATTTTGCGGATATAATTCAGGAAGTATATTTCAAGATTTCAGCATCCCAGTTTCAAGTGACTGTATAGTATGTTATCAGGTAATTTTGGAAACATCAGAAGCATCATATTTACTTTGATTTTAACATGATTCAGCCCCAGACATGTCACATTAACAGGGAACAAGAGCAGGGCAGACAATTTTATGGTGACAAGAAGCAACTGAATGTTATTGAAAGGTGTGAAAAAGGAAAGAAAAATGACTTCACATAGAGCCATCAAGCGCAAATATCATCCCTGCTTGCATCATAGATTCTTCAAGACCTGTTTTGGGTTCTTTCCGTGAAATACCATTTTTTTTTTTTTTTTTAAACACAGGACCAAATAGATAACACAGGAAATGCACTTAAAGTCTTCCTTGGTCACCGAGTTGTCTGGATGCAGGATTGAGACTGAAAGTTTGTGTGAGTTCGGTAGAAAGAACTTTTCATGAAGAAAGCAATATGAAGTATATCTATCTATCTATGAAGATATCTGCGCTTATTATAATTTCTTTGTGGCATGATGTTGAGGGGAGACACAGCAATAGATCTGGGTGAGCAGAAGCTGCTGCCACCATCCCGCTTCTTTGACAATGGCTGTGGCTGATGGTGCTCAGGATAATGTTTCCGTATTAATCATCTCTTCCTTGGGACTGTCTATGCAAGTGATATTTCTGCCATGTGGTACAGTGGCTCTGACACTAACATGTCAAGTAGAAATTACTACTCACACTCTTTGCTTCCTCTCTGTGCTTTGTCTGAGTATTGATTTTGCTATAACATCTAAGCATTGGCATGTTAAGAGACTGATGCTAGCTCCAGGAACAAGGTTTTATCTTAAACAACAATTGATAAACTGTAAAGCTCTGGACCATTCTGAGAACACTTGTACCCAGCTGTCATGGATTATTCTATTGTAAAAACTGTCTGGCATGCATTTTCAGAACAAAACATAGTTCTTGAGTGTTCAGAGTGCTTTTGGCACTTGGCAATTATTGTCTATCTTGACAGCTGACTTGACACCTTTGGCAATTATTATCTATCAAGACAATAATGCTAACCTCTGAGACTGTTTTAGCATCAGCCCTCTGCTCAATACAAACTGCCTTCTAATATTAAGAGGGATTTTCACCCAGTTTTTGCTATGTGAAAACAGAAAGCACACAGCCCCTTGTGCATCTTAATGCTTACTCCCACTGGTTGGAACAAGAAGAGATTGAATTTATCCCAGTGCTTTAAGATAAGTGGGTGCCCAAATAAAGGCATACGTACAATGTAACATTATGATTTATTGGAAGTTAGTCCAAATTAACATTTTCCTTACAGCGTGAGGTGCTTCAGCTGGTGTGAATCCACCAAACTATTTAACCTTGGACTATTTTCGTTCAGGTTTGCTCATCCTGGTTTGCTTAGTCTTACGGCATCTGATCTCTAGACTACAATTGTCCTGATTTGTAGAATTGATATTGAACATAAAAGGTAGCTGGAAAATAGAAGATTGTTGTGTGTTGTTACAAAATAAGAACAACCATTTGGGATATCCTCACCACTTTCACGCAGCTCCTCACATTCTTCCTTTGCTTTCCCGTTTGACCCTGGGCGTTACTTTCTTCATTTATGCTTCTCAGCTCTTTGCATTTCTCTCAATTCCAGCAGTGTAAGATGGGTGTGTCT